ATTCACAAATGTGTGGAAATTAAATAATATAATCTTGAGAAAGATTATTTTGTTTTCAAAAATGAAAACAAAAGAGAAATTCAAAAATATCTTGAGAAAAATTAAAATGAAAACAGTATACCAAAACATATGGGATACATCAAAAGCAGTTCTACAAGGGAAGTTTATAGTCATAAATCCCTAGATTAACATAAAAGAAAAATCTCAAATAAACAACTTAACATCATACCTCAAAAGACTAGAAAAAAGAAGAACAAAGTAAGCCCAAATTTAGCAGAGGGAAGGAAATACAGAGCAGAGCAGAAATAAATGAAATACAGACTAGAAAAACAATAGAAAAGATTAATGAAAGTAAGAGCTGAGTTTTTTAAAAAGAAAAACAAAAATTGACAAATCCTTAGCTAGTCTAACAAAGAGAGAGAGAGAGAGAGAGAAGATCCCAATAAAATCAAACAGGTATGAAAGGAAACATAAAATGGATTCCACAGAGGTAAAAAGGATTATAAGGGACTGTTATGATTAATTGTATGCCATGAAATTGGATAACCTAGAAGAAATGGATAATTCCTAGAAACACACAACCTGCAAAGATTAAGTAAAAAAGAAATAGAAAACCTAAAGAGATCTAAAACTAGTAAGGAGATTGAATTAGTAATCAACAATATCTCAGCAGAGAAAAGCTCAAGATCAGATGTCTTCACAGATGAATTCTGTCACCATTTGAAGATTAATGCCAATCTTTCTGAAACTCTTGCTTACTCCATTTGGGATACTCTAACAAAATACCACTGACTGAGTAGCTTATAAATAACAGCTCAACATTCTGGAGGCCAGAAGTCTGACATTATGGCATCATCACACTTGGATGAGACTATTCTTTCTGACTCATAGTTGGTAACTTCTCCCTGTGTTCTCACATCATGGCAGGGGCTAGAGGTATCTTTGGAGCCTTTTATTAAAAAAAAATAAGGGCACTAATCCCATTTATGAGTGCTCCACCCTCATGACCTAAGCAACTCCTAAAGACCCCGCCCACTCTTACTATCACATCAGGCATTAGTTTTTTAACATATGAAATTTGAAGGGACATATTCAAACCATAGCAAACTCTTGCTAAATACTGAAAAACTGTGAACTCTTCCAAACTAATTTTACAAGGCCAGCATTACCCTGATATTAAAACCAGACAAAGACACTATAAGAAAAGATAAAATATCCCTGATGCACACAGATGTTAAAAACCCCATCAAAATACTATCAAACCAAATTAAACAGCACATTAAATGGATTATACATATGACCAAGTGGATTATACATATGACGCTGGGATTCAAGGATGGTTCAACATCCATAAATCAAACAGTGTCATGATACATGACATTACCAGAATGAAAACAAAACAAAACAAAACCCCCCACATGATCATCTCAACAGATGCAGAAAAAGGATTTGGAAAAAACTCAACATTCTTTCAGATAAAAATCCTCCATAAAGTAGGAATAGAAGGAAATGAACATAAAGAAGGCCAAATATGAAAAGGACACAGCTAATATCAAACTCAATAGTGAAAAAGTGACAGCTTTTCCTTTATGAACAGGAAGGCAAGGATGTCCAATCTTGCCACTTTTATTCAGCATAGTTCTGGAAATCCTAGATGGATAAATTAAGTAAGGAGAAGAAATAAAAGACATCCAATTAGAAAGGAAGAAGTAAAATTATCTTTGTAGATGACACAATTTATTTGGTAGCAAGTCTTACCAACTCCACAGAAAATGAATTCACTAAAGTGGAAATACATAAAAATCAACAAACATAAGTCAATTACATTTCTACCCACTAACAATGAAAAATCTGAAAAGTAAATTAAGAAAACAATCCCATTATCAACTTCAGTACAAAGAATAAAATACTTAGAAATAAACTTAACCAGAGGTGAAAGACCTGTACACTCAAAAGTATAAAAAAAAGAAGAGGAAAATTAAAGAAGACACTGATAATATGGAAAGACACCCCATGTTCATGATTACTATTTTTAGAATGTACATAATACCATAGTGGTCCACAGATTCAATGAAATCCCTATTAAAATCCCAATGGTCAATACAGAAATAGAGAAAGCAATCCAAAAATTCATATGGCACCACAAAAGACCCCAAATAGCCAAAACAATGTGTTGAAGAATAAAGCTCAAGGGATCACACTTCCTGCTTTCAAAACATATTACTGGGCTTCCCTGGTGGGGCAGTGGTTGAGAGTCCACCTGCCAGTGCAGGGGACATGGGTTCATGCCCTGGTCCAGGAAGATCCCACATGCCGTGGAGCAGCTGGGCCCGCAAGCCATGGCCACTGAGCCTGAGCATCTGGAGCCTGTGCTCCACAAAGGTAGAGGCCACAACAGTGAGAGGCCTGCATACTGCAAAAAAAACCGCCCCAAAAACATATTACCAAGCTACAGTAATTAAAACAGAATAGTACTGGGTTAAAAACAAACATATAGACAAATGGAACAAACTAGGGAGCCCAGAAAGAGACCCATGTATATACAATAAACAAAATATCACCACTGAATACTCTCAATCAACTACTTATGAAAAGTCCTAAATACACTTTTGTCAAATGTTTGAATCTTAAACGTTAGTAGCATGGAGCATAAAAATATATCCAATAAAACCAACACCATTTTATATTAATTTAAAATAAAGTCACAAAAAAATGGTATGGGCCTCTCATATCATAAAGCTTCCTTCCAACCTGTAACAACCATTACATCTTCCCAAATGCAAGCTCGATTTCAACAAACAGGAGCAATACCAGCACTACCAACAACAACAGCAACAAACAGCTGTAACAGAAAATCCTAATGGGAAGGGAGAATCTGATTTCCAGAATTTCTACTTTATATTATTTAACATATAAATTTTCAACAAAGAGTTATGAGGTATGAAAACAAACAACAAAGTATGATCCATGAATGAGAAAAAAAATGTATATACATATATATATATATATATATATATATATATATACACACGTGTGTGTATATATATATATATATATATATATATATATATATATATATATACACACGTGTGTGTATATATATATACATATACATTGTCCACACAATGTGGACATACACATATACACATTGTCCAGGCACTAAAAAGACTTTAAATCACTCTCTTAAATATTCCCATAGAACTCAATGAAATTTTGGACAAAGAACTCAAGGAAATCAGGAAAATGGTGCCTCACCAAGTGACAAATACTAATAGAAAGAATTTACAAAAAGGAATCAAATCTATATTCTAGAGTCGAAAAGTGCCACAACTGAAATAAGAAAGTCATTAGGGGGATTCATTAGCAACTTTAAGCAGGCAGAATAAAGAATTGGCACATTTGAAGAAGAACTGATTGAGACTATCCACTCTGAGTGGTGGAAAGGGGAAA